TGGCAAAGCCTCGGCGCGAGTCAAAGAAGTGAGCAATAGCGCCATAAGAGGGTGAGTTTAGCAGAGCACCACCCAAGCCACCTAGAATCGAGTACGCCAGAAGGATTTGATAGTACTCTGTATGACACCCGTTAGGAAAAATGACGAGTTTAGCCGTGAGAAGGGGCAAACCTTTGCATAAGCTCAATAAGAGAAGGCTTGCAGACATGCAAAGGCCACCAGCGACAACGAGGCCGCGGGGACCATACTGGTCAAATAGGGGACCAACTTGAATGCCAATAAAGAAGACAATAAAAAGGTACAGGCTGAATATCCATCCAATTTCGGATGAAGAATGATCAGCGAGCTGGTTTTCAGAGAAGTATGACTCAAAGACGGCAGCCGAGTTGATGAGGCCGAAAACCGAAAGCATTGCACAAAATGATCCAAAGACCACCAGCCACGCCTGCCAGCCGCCCTCAGGAAAGGTCAATTCGTTGAGACTTGCGGCATCACGTTCAACATAGAAGGATCTCTCTCTTGACCTTGATCTCTCTTCGTCGTCGTGAAAGTCTGTAGATGGTGAAGATGCTATAGGGCCGTGAATGTTTCTCAACTGTATGGACGATGTTTTTACAGCCGTTTGCGACATCTTCCGTGCAGGTCCTGTCAATTGCACGTAAAGGCGAATATTCAATGCACCACTTCTTTGCCTCGAGTTGGCTGGGCTTTTGTTAACGGAGCTGTTGAAGAAGGCCAGTCTCCTCTATTGCAGTGGTGGTGAGTAGACAAAGTTGAGGCACTGTTAATGAAAGAAGATATGTTTGACTCAAAATCCATTTTCGAGTTCTATGCCAGCAAGAAAATACTTGGCTCCACATGCACGTGTTGCGCCCTTTTGGCCCCATCTGGTTACTGGGAAATATCTTTCTCTGCTTTGGATTAACAGTTGAGCACTTTAGTACGTCGCCAATCTAGCACTAAGGCCGAAGATGGCTAATACCTCGCTCATCAGTGCTGTTGTAACGACGTACCTAGCTAAAACAAGGACGATACCCGATACCATAGACCAACAGCGCATCTGATCAGGGCCCGACCCCATGGCCCCCTGCTCAACTTATGCTCACCTTTTTGAGAAACAATCCTTTGAATATTTCACAAGGCGAAGATTCCCATAGACATGAGAATAATTGAAGGTAACTCTGATCAAGTGTGGGTTTGCTCATTTAGAGATAAGAAAAAAAAAGACAAGAAAGGAAAAGACAACTAATGCGCAGCAGGGTTTAGCAGCTCAGCAGCCCCTGCTTGGAGGGATCGACCCTGGCGACCGTTCTCCGCCGCTCTCCACCGTTGACCGCTGTCTCTCTTCCCGGGTAATTATTACTCAATCTAGACACTTGACCTCGAATAGGCTCAGTTTATCGGGCTTAAGGTGAGAGTTTCCGAATGAGTGACACCCGTAGGGTTCCAAGTGAAGCGACTCGGCCGATTGAGGTAGACAAACTATTCCATGTAATTTATGATTCTCCCAGAAATCAAGTACTGTCCTCACTAAACCGTGTAGGGCAAACTTGCATAAACACTTGAGGTAGAGACTCTCGGAATGAAATCGTGCCTTTTCCTTCCGATGACAAGGTTCGTTTACGCATTTTTCGGTTGATTGTGGTGAAGCCGCCGCATAGGTCCAGCACCCTAGGACGTAGGTCGTGGTCTATCGGGTGCCTAACGCTGTAAAGCTTGGTGAGCCATACTGTACCAGATAACTGATCTACAAACTATGTACTGAATGGCTGTACACAACAAACACAGTGGATATAAGACCACCCCTTCACTCAACGCACCCAAGTCAAATCCGGCCTTCCAATTCCAAGACACTTGACCGCTACAGTTCGCATAAGGATCTGCGTTTTGAGTTCAATCATAGGTTTGCATAGGTGATACATTATGCAGCATCTTCGCAAAAGCTGTGTTCGGGCATGGAATGGGGATGGGCCCAATTATTATTGATTTAAGTAAGGTAAGTAATGTTGTAGTAGTAATACAAGAGCAGTGAAAAAGGATACACAACTAAGGCCACTATCAGTTTACGAGGCCCAGGAATCAATATAATAGTCTATAAGACGACTTTGGTTAGATGTAAGGGGTCTTCGCAGATTTAGAGGCAAAAACCACCTTCCCTCTCGTCGTCTTGGACGATCGTAGGTTTGATGAGGAAAAGTCGGCTATCAAGCGTACACAATAAAACTTGACCAAGCCGAACAAATACAACAAAATCCACTTGATCAAGCCTTCTGGTCTATAAGCCTCTGGAGAATCTGCTTGCTGGTCAGATAGTCGGAAGTGCCGTTCTCCGGATCAGCGTCAGTGGCGTTCTGAGCACCGCAGACAGATCCAGCACTGTATTTGCCTGCAGGACCATCTACACCGGCAAAATCCCTCTTTGAATTTGCAAGTAACATGTTCTCGGCAGCTTCAGGAAGCCATCCATTGATGAAGTCGCCGTGGGTGCAATAGGCGGGGCCGCAAGCCAGTTCCAGAGGGGCGGTTCCCTCCCAGCCGTCAGGCAAAGCCTTGCGAAGATCATAGCGGATGCTGAAGCGCAGTTGGGGCATCCTCTTCATATCAAGAGGGCAGCGGTTGGCAGGCTTGCTGGTGGCGGTCCAGTGTTGGGTTCCAGAGTATGTGGATTCGAGTGTCTCTTGGTTGACACAGTCGTGGAACAAGAGGATCGTCTGCAGATGGGTGTTGCAGGTCTTGGACGGAAAACCATTGACGTCCTTCCCTGCGCTGGGGCCACCCTCGCAGAACCATTGGATGCCCGCTAGAGGCTCGGTATCAGCTTCGGACTTTGCGGAGGCGTTGCCGACGACAGCCTTGTAGTCTTGTGGAATGGCGACTTCTGCCTTTTCGATTGCAACGTAGTAGGCACTGAATCGACTGATGGGAACTGGGGCAGTGGCGGTTTCGTTTTTGTAAAAAAGGGTAGGAACCCCTAATTTCGGATTAACAAGCAGACTTTCCTATCTTGATAGAGATTATCTCTTTGACAGAGCTTGACTTACAGTAAGACGAGTAGTCGTTGGGGTTGACCGCTGTGGCACAGCCCGCTTGCAACTCTTTGGAGGTGGTTGTGTTCAATGTCACAGCATCAGAACCGAAAAATGTGTGCATGTGGCTAGCATACTGGCCGGGTATAACCACAGGATCGATATTCTTGTACATGAATTTGTCAACGATGGTGACGGTGTAGGCACCAGCTGCACCGGCAACTGCCAAGATATTCGCGAACTTCATGTTGCTAAGGTAGAGGAGGATTGGCTCAAGTCGGTTCTCAAATGAGCGAGTAAGATGCAGGCAGGCTGGTATGAAAGGCGACGACACTGAAGAGTGTATGATCAAGAGCGAAAGCAAAAGGTGAAGACAATAATCAAGCTGGACTACTGGCTATTACCTCAAGACTCAATATGTTTCCCTGGCAATTCTTAAGACTTCTCCGCTCGATACCCCTTTGATGCCCCTCGTGCGGGTTTGACGGAGCAGTCCGCATGTTGAGATGTGGGCACGCTTCTTAACGCAGGGGTTTGAGTCTGATTAAGGTATAGCTATCCCCACGCCAAGAGCCCAGGTGGGAATCCGATGGATGACAGTCACGTTTTCAGAAGTTTAGCGTATTGGTGAAACCCATCAGAATGCAGTGGACAGGCGTTACGCCGATCCTGAAATTTTCATTCCTGCGCGCTTACACGCTGACAGTTGGAGCACGGGTGTAACTTTAGACTTGGTCCTAGCCTACTGCCACGAGGACGCCATGCTTTGATGATCGAACCTGATCTTTCTTTCATCCTTATTCGTGAAACCTCTTTACGGCAGATTCGGTTATTTAGATGTGGGTTCAGTTAAAATCCGTCTTCATCGCTTCGTATCTGCCTTGGGCCTACTCCATTGTTCATGTCCTCATGTGGAATAGTGGCCTAAGAACGTATGTTACCTCGACCTACCTACTCCTATGTCTTCTCCAGATGAGAAGATCATTGTAGTGAATACTTTCCTGGCTTGAGTGAATCTGACTAGCCAGAAACGGATGAATCCCTCAAATGCTCCGTAGTTCACCTTTCCGCTTGCCGGCAGGGCGAAGCAGCAAAGCTCCATACCTTTACTATATCCACACTTCAGATTATTGACAGTTGTGTATTCCACGAAAAACTCTCAATCTCATCTTTGTAATGTGGAATATCAGTTCATGGGGGTGGCTTTGTTGGGAGACAATCTTCCAGGCCAGGAACCTCGTCATGGATAAACTGCACGTATCGGACATCTCGTCCGGAATGTGAAATTTATTTTTCCAACCTGGTCCTGGAATCCGACAGACTTGCCCCGTCAGTCCGGCAGATCTGGACGCGCAGACGACGATCACTACGGCTCACCTGAAAACACCCACACTAGGTGGCCAGGAACCTGGTATGGTTGAACGGAGCGACCCGCATTAGCCCGAAGACAGCATCTACAGGGATGTAGTTCAATATATGGATGCCACTTCGGGGCAATGATTGTGCGGGTGTCTCTTCCAAAGAGCGGGCAACTCCAATTTGTTACAAATGCTGCAATAAAGGGTTGGCACGAATGTTTTGCCCGGATATGCGTTGATCGTGGATGCCAAAGTTTCCTTTGCTCCGAGAAAAACGAAATATGCCGGCAAGTTCACCATGGGACCCCGCGTCTACGCGCAATAATGTACATGAGATGGCATCAGTTCAGCTCGACATGTCGTCTCGGTCGAAAGGTTGAGACTCAACTGGTGGACTCAGCCATCATATGGTCCGTGACCATCATGGGAGTCCTCAAAGATGAGAGGTCGTATGCTCATGAGAGACGTATGAGGGGGCTATCAAAGCTATAAATATCGAAAGTCAGATCGAAGAACTCTCAGAATTCCGAGAGGTCATCAAGCTTGATGAACCAAGTGCATTCAGGCATCGTCAACAAAATCACAAACTAGCTTTCCAGCTTATAAACTTCGCGTAATGAGATCCACCGTCTTTACATCAATTCTCGCATTGGCGGCGACGATGGCCATGGGGTCGGCCGTGGCTCGAGCCAAGAAGCCGCCGTTTTTCTTTCTCATCGGCGATTCCACCGTGGCGGTCAATGGAGGTTGGGGTGACGGCTTCCTGTCTTACCTCAAAGACCCCGCAAAGGGCGAGAACAGGGGCAAAAGTGGTTCTACCACCGTCTCCTGGAAGTCAAACGGCCGCTGGGCTTCACTCTTGCAGGGTATCAACGACACTAGGGCAGACTACGAGCCAGTTGTCACTATCCAGTTTGGCCACAATGACCAGAAGAGTCTTACTTTGGATGAGTTCAGGGCCAATCTGGTTAATATCGCGACCGAGCTCAAGGACGCCGGGGCGACTCCGGTGGGTTCGCACTTCATTTGCAGTGTACCAAATCTGGCGACTAATACCATGCCTAGATCTTCATCACGTCTCTTACTCGCCGCCGCTTCGAAGATGGCGAAGTGGTTCGAGATCTTGCTGAATGGAGGGGCAAAACGATCGCAGCGGCAAAGGCCAGCAGCGTTAGGTGGCTTGATCTCAACCTTGCGAGTACCGACTATGTCAACGCCATAGGGGAGGAAAACGCCCAGTACTATAACCTGGCTAGCACCGATAGAACCCACTTGGGGGAAGCTGGCGAGATCGTTTTTGGCCGCATGGTAGTTGACCTCTTGTTAGAGAAACGCAGCGATCTAGACGTCTACTTCAGCGCTGACGAAGAGATCACTGACGCTATCGCGAACGGCGAATTCACTACAGGAGGCAAGTGAGGGAAGCTGGACAGACGAGAACCTCCCAAAGTTCTCACAGAACAGAAAGGACTTGGTACTCGATGATATCTGGTGCATGTGTACATACCTACCATCAATTGAGGGGTGACTGTGGTAGTTGAGAATCAACAAGGCCGTGGTTGAATTTTTTACTACGCACACATTTCTGGAGCTTGCACAGTGATGCTTGAGTATCTAGCCGAGGCCAATGAGTGAAAAAAACGATGAGAAAGAATTGCAAAGCACCACCCAAATCAAGTATTTTGGACACACATTGTAAGCTAGGAATAGGTGCATCGAGGACACGAGCGATCGTGTTTCTATGATGACAGATCCCAGGACCATGGCACTGGTGAGTGGGTCCGGACGAAGAAACATCGCCAGACGATGTGGCCCAAATTGGAAGGTCGTCAGTGATCTGCAAAAAGGATGTTGAGATGGCAATCACCGAAATGAGGAGGCTGGTTTACCACAAACCAACCCGAACCCCGCCTTGAAATGTATACGCACTTTAGGTACAGACCCAATTCTCTTGAACGGTCCCCTCTTCTTACCCCTATCAGACTGATCAATCCCAACTCTATACTGCCATGATGAGGCGCCTTCTTGCACTCATATCAACTCTTGTCGCGAGCGCGTCCCCTCTTGCAGTGACGCGAGGTGTCCATGAGCGGAACATGAACCTGACTCTAAAATGGGACATTCTACCGGTCAACAGTCAACAACAATTCCGAGGATTGTCACCTGTGTCGGACCAAATAGCCTGGGTGTCTGGTACAGGAGGAACGGTTCTTCGCACCACCGACGGCGGTGCTTCGTGGCAATCAGTTGGTCCCGAATTGTCGACCGAAGACGCCGACCTGCAGTTCCGTGACGTGCAGGCCTTCTCGGCCGAAAAGGCAATCATCCTATCTATTGGCGAAGGAGCGGACTCGCGCATTTACATCACGAAGAATGGAGGAGAGTCTTGGACGCAGAGTTTCGCCAATGAGGAGGCATCGGCGTTTTTCAACTGCGTCGACTTTGAAGACGATGAGAGGGGCATTGCCGTGAGCGACCCAGTCGATGGCAAGTTTCGATTGATTGAGACGCTCGATGGGGGTAACACCTGGACCATCGTGGACCCCAGCGGCATGCCCTCTGCTTTAGAGGGCGAATTCGGATTCGCAGCCAGCGGGACTTGCATCTCTACCGCAGCGGGTCGTTGGTATCTTGCATCGGGTGGCATTGATCCCGGCAGGATCTTCCAGAGCGCAAACGGTTATGAGTGGGATGTCTCGAGCAGTGCGATTGCGGGTGGTGCCTCGGCTGGGGTGTTCTCGGTACGATTCAGAGACGCGCAAAACGGCATTGCAACTGGAGGCGACTTCAACGTGGTCAATGGTTCACTCCATACATCAGCATGGTCCGAGGATGGCGGAGAGACCTGGACCGCGTCGGAGGTGTTTCCGGGCGGATACCGATCGGGCTCATCATGGGCCCCGGGGCTGTGTGGGGTGGCTGTCGCAGTTGGACCATCTGGCTCCGACATCACGCTTGATGCTGGAAAGACTTGGGTTACATTTGACAGAGGCTCGTTCGACGCTGTCGAGTGCGTTTACGGCCGAGTCTGCTGGGCGTCCGGCTCAGCCGGAAGGGTGGGCAAGCTTTCATTGAGATGACAACGGATGGCCACATGCAGAAATGAGGAAGGCCTTCACTGCTCTCAAGGAGAATCCATGGAGGGCTGGAAGTTTCCAACTCAATTCTTCAGAAGCTCACCAACGACTCCCCTGTGCTGCACGGGAGACAGGCATTGAGTAAAATAAGCTCGTTTTCGTTCGATATTCAACAGCTCTCGGTTTGTGTGAAGGATGACCTTATGTCTTTTCCGCTTCTTTGCCCTTGAGAAACACGGCCAATACGAGTGCGATGGCGGAGACCACCCCGATACACCTAGCCTTTCCAAGCAAGGTTCGAGACAAGAGGAAGCGATACCCTGCATATGCTATTCCACCCCTCCACGAACCTGCACTAACATGATCTGCAAGTGAATCCGGTGCCATCGTGTTAGGTTACCTCGCGACCCAGAGCAAAGATGAGACGGCACGTACCTGAAACAGGTCACAGCGTGCCTCGCTTAAGCAGGCAGGATTCGACAGACATGCTCCCAAAGTTCCAATCAAGAGCTCTAGTGGGGAGCAAACGGTGCCCAGCGAGGGGCATAATTAGGAACTTTGGAGGGGATGTTGTTCGTTGTCAGAGACTATTGGAGGCAGCTGAAAAAGAAATGTAGCTACCTGATTAAAGTAGAGCTGTAGGTATCCGCCGGCAGCTCAAGTCCCGTCCAAATGACAGGCTCTAGCCTAGCCGCCAATGCAGCCAGCGCGTCATGACCTAAAGCCCAAACCAGCATTACCAATCGTCGACTCCTGAGCGGTCTGTTGTTAAGGTCCGAAATTCCACCTACACATCTCCGTCTCACTCCTACACTCTGGGTTGATCTCAGTCCCTTTTCTCTGCAAGCTAGAGACGACGATGCTCAGAGAACGATAGCTCTGCTGTACACTACGTCACCATGGCGGGCAGTCTTCACGCCCAAATCACCGAGTCGCTGACGCCTGGGCGCGTCTTCAGCTCCCTCTTTATCGTCTTTGTTGGTTTGCTCATCCTCGATCACACATGGAAGCCCACATACCCAGAGAACATTCCCGTTGTGGGCTATGGCAAGGGCACCGTCGCACGCTTCAAGAACTTCTACTACTACATGTTTCGCTACCGAGACTGGGTCATTGAGGGCTATAAGAAGGTATGCTATCATTCCCGGCGCGAGCGACTTGGTCAGGCCAGAAGAGACACTGACTTTGTATGCGACAATGCAGTACAACAAGCAGAACCGCGCATTCGTAGTCCCCGCTGCCGCTAGTAGAGCGCCCGACATCATCCTCCCGCAGTCCCTCACGAAATGGCTCCTCGAGTACCCTGACTCAGTCGTTTCCGCCCATGAAGCGCATAACGATGTCCTCTACAGCGACTACAACTTCCTTGGAAAGGTTTACGCCGATGATGTGTGGCATACCCTGGTAATCCACAAGAGTCTGGCCCGCCACCTGAGCACACTGATTCCCGCGATTGAAGAAGAGGTCTCCGTCGCTGTCGACGAGGCCTTTGGCACGAATACCGAGGACTGGAAGACCCTTAACCTCTGGGACGCCTGGCTGACGATCGTGCCGCCGGTGACGAATCGCATGCTCGTGGGAGAGGGCGTATGCCGCACCAAGGAGTTCTGCAAGGCTATGGTTTCGTTTGTCGACCAGGTCATTCTCAACTGTTTTGCGCTGCACATGGTTCCCCAGACCATCCTGCCCATCCTCGGACCCTTGATCGCATTACCCAATTGGTGGCTTTGGCGCAAAGCCTCGAAGCACAGCCTACCGGTAATTAGGAAACGACTCGACGATATGGCAAAGAAGGAGGCGGGGGATCCGGCCTACGAGAGCTGGGTTGCGCCCGAAGACTTCATCACCTGGGATATACGCATGGCAAAGGCTGAGAAGAAATTCTTCGAACTTGACCCCTACGTTATTTCGAAGCGACTGTTGCCGATCCAGTTCGCCGCGATCCACACGACCGTCATTACCGGCCACAGCATTGTCCTAGACTTGTTGAGCTCCGACCCAGCGAAGGGCTATATCGAGGGTATCCGGGAAGAGGCAGAACGCGTTCTTCGCGAGGAGGGCGGCAGCTGGACAAAGAATGGACTATCGCGGCTGTATCGCCTTGACAGCGCAATCCGTGAAAGCCAAAGGCTCAGCAACTTTAGCTGTACCCTGATGGAGCGTAAGGTTATTGCCAAGGAGGGCATCACCAACGAGCAAGAGGGGTGGCATCTGCCAAGAGGCACGTTTCTCACCGTTAACCTCGAAGGCCTCCACCACGACGACGAACTGAACCCCAACGCGAGGGAGTACGACGCCTTCCGGACGAGCAGGAAGAGGGAGGAGTACGAGGCGAAACCGCAGTCTGACCGCAACTTGGACGAGGGGCTTAGGTTGAAGAACCTTGGGATGGTCACAACGAGTGATGCTCATCTGCCATTCGGCCACGGACGACACGCTTGGTAAGTCGTTCTCTCTCTCTCTATCTCTCATATAGCCGCCATCGTCTAAGAACTAACGATATGCAGCCCTGGCCGCTTCTTCGTCGCCCACGAGCTGAAGATGGCAGTTGCCAACTTGTTCCTCAATTATGACGTTAAGCCGCTGGCCGAGAGGCCCAAACACCAGTGGGTCGGCGTCACTGTTGTCCCTCCTGTTGACGCAAAGATCGAGCTGAAGCGCAGGAAAGGCACTGTATAAATAGGATGGTGACAGCGATTTGATGGTAACGAATATCATGATTGACTGGCGTATTTGGACAGGAATGGATTACAGAACTCGACATACTTAATCGTGCACAAGATATCAATATAGCGTAGTTTTACCCTCATTATCCCTGGCTCATTGTCCCTGGTATCTAGCATTTTCTAAGCCGCGCCTTCCTGTTTTCTTACATGATCTATGGATGTGGCTCTCGTCCAATCACTCCGAATCTCAAACTAAGAAGTTCGCTAGATAATCTTGCTCTTTGTAGCGGACTAGTCGTCGTCTTTGGTTGGATTCGGCCGCTTAGTGATGTGGATTGATGTTCCCTCACAGCGCTCGGCGATGCTCCCTCAAACGTGCGTAGACAGCTTCGCCTCCAACATTATCCCAGCTAGGCAACTCCGACTCTGTGGACGCCTGAGAGCATCCACTTTCTTGTTCCTTGAATATCTGGACAGGCACCAACAGGGGAAGCTCAGCTCCTCCCGCCGTGACCTTGATCTCAAGAGTATACGTCCGCGAAATCAAGCAGGAGTGGAATGTAGGCGGAAAAACGTGGCTTGAGGTCGGCAGTCCGAAATCGACTTGCGTCGAACATGTATATGTAATTGGTACACCGTCATCCTGGGTGCTGCTGTTGCGTATCACCGTGATGTCTCTCGATCCTCGATTACCTCCCTTAGTTCTTCCTGATTTTCCATCCTCCAGAATGTGAACATGTTGAACCCACGGTGTTATGTTTGTGGCGTTGACGATAGTAGGGGTAGACAGTGTTGTTGGCTCTCGATTTACGCCAACGTTGGGAAAGCTTTGTGCCGGTCGCGTAGAAGCCCAGTTTTGCGCCAATATACTCGTAGACTTGATCTTGACCTGCGGCGGTAGCATATCTGGCGCCGTGGGCCAGAAAGCAATGTCGATGTAGGCTGACGAACTGGATGCCGCGTGTCCATCAGAGCTCAACCGGATAGCTTGGGGTTGGGATGTCTTGGCCGTGATCTGGCCTGTAGGTACAGAGAATATGTTCTTTCTGACAGGTTTGGTACTCTCGAGAACGTAATGAAGGTCGTGGTTGTCGAGGATTAGGGGCGGATCTTCCGGGGATGGCGCGAGGATGCTAATCGGATGCTCAGACTCAAGAATCGGTGCCGGTAGTTGTACGGTACTACCATCGTCGATATTGAAAACCCTGGCCCTCACACTGTATTGTATCTTTGCCATACTTGTTGCTAAATCATCCTTCTCAAATCCGGTCAATGAAGACGGCAGGCGGAGATGATGGTGCCGCACTGCTTCTGTTTGGACTTCGTATTGGCATACGTTGCTGGTGAGTTGATGCGGAATGATGAAGCTGAAGGGTATTGAGTAAGTGTGTCCACGTCTGAATAACCTCGTTGAAGGGTAAGCCGATTCGGGTACAGGCATGTACAGCTTTAAGAGTGTCTGTATCGTTTCGGTCATGACGTGGACATCTTCCCGTCGAACAATGGCTTTTCCCAGGAGATTAATCTCGACGAACCCGAAAGCTGTATCCTGTTGCGTGTTTACTTTGACGGTGCCGGAAACCTGGGATCCTGCGGAGTATATCTTCGACGTGTAATGATGGTCGACATGAACTTCTACGTCACTTCTCGTTGGCATGCCGATCAGTTTTGTCATCGACATCATTTTATTTCCGATTGCTCGCATGGTTCCCTTCTCATTGAATATTCCGCCTGACAGTGCGGCAGAAGCACTGGACCTGAAAGCTGAAGCTGACGGCTTGGATCGGTGATTGGAGCCAGCTTGGTTGGCTGTCATGTTGAAGCACGGGATTCTGCAACATTTCGGAGTTCATGAAATTGGACAGAACTGAAACGCATGGCCTTTTCAAAGTAATTATGAATACTGTGAGAATAAGACTTCTATTCTCGGATAGGTTAGCTAGTTCATTTTTAGATGTGTGCAAGCCTACAAAGACTTCGCTACTTGCGTGCTTGACTCTACGCCGATTACGCCGACTACTCCGCAGCAATATCATAATCCATTCCGTTGGTGAGCTGAGAAAGTCCGAATTCTCAAATCCGCTTGCTCCCTACTTTTCTTACCAATCAGCGAAGAACAATTTAAATATTTCTCATGGATGGTAGTCATAGTTGACTCCCAACTCCAAGGCTATTGCTCACCCTGTTCCATACGTGGGCCACTTGGCGCCCCAGTCACCGAAACGCGTGCACTCTTGACAAGGTCCCCATATGACATTCTGCGCCCTTCACTAGTTCAAAACAGCCAGGTTTCTGTGCTGGCTAAGCTCCCTAAAGTTTGCAGATTCCGATGTCGGCATTTTGACCCGGCCAGTTTCCAACCTGCCGTCAATCTAGCCAAAGCCTCAAATCTTGGCCTTTTCGAACTTTCCATGCCTTCCCGCTCCCTTGGAAAATTCCGTTGCACCCCGAACACTCTCCATGTTGATCACTTTGATTCCCTGGTCGAATTCGTTGCTCAGAGCATCCTCGAATGAGCTAGCGTTGTAAGTCGAGTAGTAACAGCTCGTTCTGTCAGTGTTCATGCAGGCCTGTGGGAACGCCAGCAATTGTCGAGCAATACTTGTTGCTTCTGCCAGAGCCTGGCCCTTGGGCACAACCCGATTAGCCAGGCCCATCTGCAACGCTTCTTCTGCGGATACTCCGCGGCCGGTGAGTACCATATCGAGGGCTCGACCGAGACCCACGATGGCTTGTAAGCGAACAGTGCCGCCGTCAATGAGAGGGACGCCGAACCGTCGGCAAAAGACTCCAAAGACCGCATCATCTTCAGCAACACGGATGTCTCCGAGGAGAGAAAGTTCCAAACCTCCGGCAACAGCATACCCTGATACTGCACTGATGACTGGCTTCTTAATTTGCATTCGTGATGGGCCGATGGGCCCGATATTGCGGCTTTGAACTCGATGGCTGCGTTCGATGATGGGCCCATTGTAGCCTCCTTTCACAGACCCATGCCCATACTTTGCGACCTCATGGAGGTCGAAGCCAGCACAGAAAGTGCCATTTGCTCCATTGAAGACACACACCTTCTGGACAGGGTCGTTTTCGAAAGCTAAGAAGGCGTCGGTGAGTTTGTGAGCAGTTGGTCCATCGATTGCATTCCTTCGGTGCTCTCGGTTGATGGTTATGGTGGTAATACCATCGGATGACTTGGTCACTTGAACTGCTTGTGGTTCGTTCTGTGCGATCTTAAAGTAAGTTAATTGCGCGACGGTACTTATTGTTTGATGTCAGAGTGAAATTTTAATTTCTTCAAACCTGCGAAGAGAATGGTCAGGTTCATAGATGATTACCGCTTCCACGGTTCCATCTACGTCATCTTGACCGGTCTTACTGCAGCTTCCCCGCTATGATCATGGCCGAAAACCTTGAGCTGCCTTGTGACTATGCCGGTCTCCAAATATCCAGATTCATCCACTTGGGTATGTGGCATTCGGACTACTCCGTTGATAGCTGAGCCGACGGCAACCGAGTATCGTTCATTCTTGACATTCATCGCACGTGTTGATCCAGAGTTCATCGAAATGTAGATAGGTCCAGTAAAGTGACCTGCTTGTTAAGCTAGCTGCAAAATTCGTTTTCTCGCCGGAAGACCAGTTCGTAGATCTTCCCTGGGCACTCCGCCAAGCGTCAGCCACGAGAATGGCCCTCTCACCCAAGCCCGAGCTCTGGGATTTGGACCGCTCTCCAAGCCCCCGAATATGAAGGTTACACACCATACCTTAAGCAGTCTTTATCAACGCGGAATCCAACAGACGGTCTAGTTGGCTTATGGTTTTCTTCCATATACGATTGTCCTACAGAAATTTAGGCAGCTCATGGGGTTCAAGCTTGAATCACTAGACACTTAGACTTCGGACCAATGGCAGTTGGATTTCTTTCGGGACTCCTCACGCATCTCTGATATCATATCAATGCGTCGACATCTTTGCGTGTCAATCTCAGAACTTGTGTAAGAAGATACATGCCAAAAATAGAAAGACTTCCATGGAATGCAAGCTGGAATAAGTCCCTAGCTTCCTCTAGCTTTGGGTCGCTGGGCCACTCGTAGGTGGTGCCTTCGTTTTTGGTTCCACAATGTGAACGACTCCAGTTTCTTGTAAGAGATTCTTGATGTTGCGTCCCTGGCAAGTAGTAAGTATTCGACCTATTTTCTCACCGGCCAAGTCCAATTCAAAGTGCAATCGTCAAGGATAAATTCGATGTTCGATAGTACTAAGCCAGGCTGGATTGACCTTGGACTTCGGGTACTGGTCCCCAAAGTCAATGGCCCAAATTCCGGTCCCCATTCCAACATCGAGGACTCATCCAGGCCCATCGTCTTCCTTAACGGGAATGAAAGATAAGCGGGTATCCAGAAGTATCAAAAGAGCAGGGTGAATAAGATCGAGTCCCTCATTCTGTTTCTGGTCGTTCGGAGCCCAGTACCCTCCGGTTTTGCTATTTTGATATGTTCTACCGTATAGTTGGCGGTGTCCCAGACTACTCGAGGAGACTGAGGTCGTAGATGAGTAGATGTTTGATGGGCTTGGTCTTCTCCATCAAGGACAGTCGCTGGCTTGCTATGTGTGTCCGACGTCATACTGGCGGTTTCTCGGTATTGTCCCCACCCGTTATTCGGGCTTCTCGAGGGTAGAGGCTCGTTCAAGAAGCTCCAGATTTGTTGGCTCCATAGACCGAGCAACGCTCCCTTTGTCTGAGCGATGTCAGGTATTCCTTGCATTTGTTCCTAGAGTGGGGTTGGCTGAAAGACTTTGTACACCGCAATCATATCCTCCTCGCCCAGGCCGGCATCGCTCGCCTGGCCGTAGATCGAACGACACAACTCTGCCAGAGGCGACTGTACGTTCGCCCGCTTCGTGGCTTCGGTGATGAGTTGCATGCTATTGTAGCAATCCTTCATAGATGCTTGTGGGTCCCAATCCCCATTGACAACTTTGGCGACCTTGATCTTCGAATATGCGGAAGCCATAGGACCGGCGTCGAGTACCTGTCCGAAAGCATCGAGATCGAGGCCCTGCGCCCGAGCGAGACTGAACGACTCTGCAAGAGCGACCGTCATGGTGTTAAGGTAGAGATTGACCGCGTACTTGGTCTTTAGGCCTGAGCCGATGGGCCCGCAATATACGGCAGCGGTGGTAAGCGGCTCCACCACCGCCCGCATGCTCTCCGCCACGGCCGGATCGCCGGCCATGAGACCCACTAATTTACCCTGCTCCGCCGGGATTTTGCTGCCGCTGACCGGCATTTCGAGGAAGTTGCCTCCCGCTTTGTGAACATGATCCGCTACCTGTCTGCTGACTTCCAACGGAATCGAGCTCGTGTTTATCAAAGTTTTGCCGCGGAGTGCCGATTTAAAGTCCTTGTTGAAAATCGAGATTAACGCTGGGCCGTCGAAGAGCATAGTGAAGATCACATCAGATTGATGGGCCACCGCCGCCGGTGTATCGCCGATCTTAGCACCAACTTTTGTGAGCGCTGGGTATTTGGAAGCAGTCCGGTTCCACACGGTCAGTGGAAATTTGTGAGCGAGGTTCAGGGCCATCGGGGTGCCCATGAACCCCAAACCCAGAAAACCAACACGCATTGTCCAAAACTTGGTCTTCGAAGTTTTGTGAATGGTGGTCGAAAACGCGATAGGGAGGAATGAACACGTATGAAGATAAGCACCGGAACCTTCGAATCTTACACTACCCTGCGTGAGATGGATAACACGTTGGCTTTGAAAATTCGGGAAAACGTCTTCCCATTGAAAGATATTCATGGATACAGTAAAGACAAAAGTTTCGCTTTAATACTACACACACGACTAGTACCTTTCGAAATCTCTAAATTAATTCGATGAGGGTGGATGAATCAGTGGTTCTAGCGAGATAGACTCACGCCCTAGGGCGGCAATTCTATCAATGGGACAGGTTACGGAGTAGTCCCTGCGGATAAGCCCCATAAAATCCATGTCAACTGCTCCCTACGCCCTACTTGTGATCCAAATGCGCAGGGCGCGTGTGGATTTGGCCGGTATCGCTGCGATGTGAGCGAGAACATTATTTGTTCAAAGGTCTCTCGAGTCATCATCTCTAAGGACTTCAATGGTGGATTCCTGTTCTAGAATACAGAGATTGACAGGGTTAAATGCTACGCCTTTCGCGTGGAGTCTAACGCATGGGGGCTGAGAAGCTATGCACCTTGAACCATGGGCAGTCCAACGAATTGATAGCCCAGTCTCTTGCAGCCACATTGGAGGCGAAAATCTTGTTCACGAAGGACTCAATCCTGGGTCATCGTCAAGAATGCCCATCTCGCGCTTGAAGTCTCGAAGCCAGTCTGGGTTGTCCGCTGGAGTCTGATTCCATGGATCGTCACTAAGCTATCGTTAGCTCTGAGTTATCATAGGTAACGTTCAAGAGGTATTACTCTTCGAAGGAAATCCACCTCGCCTGATGTTGTAGTTCGGCATCGGTGGGGATTCGCCGGTTCGGATTGCGTGGCGACGTCGTGATAGTCACGAAACGAGTGAGCTCTTTCATGAGCTTCCTATAGCAATTGTCGTCATTGACGAAGAACGAGGAGGTCGAGTACACCTTGCTGATGTCGCCCGTCTTACCGCCGCTAGCATTCACCTGTGTCGGATCAGGTGTACTACCTGAAGAAAGATTCGCCCCCGAAAACTCAAGGCCAGCCTCAGCTGCTATGGAGCCTAGAAGGCCTTCGGATACGCTGGAGGGAGGAACAGCATTCGAAGCCTCCGACGGCGAGAGTCCAGTCCGATGACGGAATGCGGCAAGCCAGTGAGGAGAGCCATTGATGAGACTAAACAAAAAGTTTGTAAAGAATTCCGACGGATTGAGCGAAGAGGCCTCGATTCTTTCGACGATGTTGCAGGCCTCTCGTTGCAACTCGTCGTCGGAAATTTGTGGCTCAATCAACTTGGATATCTCCACGTAGCTCTGCAGTTGCTCTTCCAAACCGCAGGCCTCAAAGATGCACGCTTTACCGTTTATGCTAAGATACGTGAATCGTGACCTTGCGTTATTCTTCATCGGTCGGACCCGCGCCTGCTGTACGATGGATTCGGATGACATGAGCAGATCTCGCAGCCAGCTCTGGGTTGACGTTGCAGGTCTCTTGGAAAATGAAATTGAGTCGCATCCAAAAATGACGCAGCAGCTCTCGTATAAAAGTTCTGCATTCGTAGGCATCTCGTCCTTGGTGTTTTGGTGCTCGGCGGAAAAGTGTTCAAGCTCTAGCTTGATCAGCTCGTAGGCATTGGGCGGTGTCTCTGGAACACCTTGCTTCGTTGTAAAAGGCCATGGCGAGTTGCGTTCCATGTGAATCAAGTCTGGGCAGCACCGATTAGATCTTGCATGCTTGAGTTCTCTAACGACACAGCGGCACTTACAAGGCTGCACCGAGTTCTCGACCATGTTCAAGACATTGTCGTCGAATCCCCAATCACCGTGCCAATCTGCCATCGTCTTTCCGTCTTTGAAGTGCTCAGCCAGATGATCTATCCGGTCGGTCCACGAAGACATTGTGTGACCGCAAAAGCCGCACCGGGAACGTATAATCTCGCTTTCGTATTTCCAATCTCCCATAGGCCACCTCAAGAATTTGGCATCATGAACCAGCTTCAAGTGTTGCTGCAGGTGATCTTTCCGATAAAATGTCCGGTCCTCAGGCTGACGGTCCCTACATGCTTGATAATTATGCTTCTCTAAATGTTCCTTATTCGGGTTCGCTTCGCTGCAAAAGATGCAAACCGGCTGCCCGATGGCGTCAGGGACAGTCGCGCCGGTCGGAGCGCATTCCCAGCGCTCGAGAGAGAGATGCAACGACTTTTCGTGACGCTGCCAGTTGTGTTTGGTCTTGAACGTCTCTGTACAGAACGTGCACTGATATGTGTTGCTGGTCTGCCAAAGGGTTCCTGTGCCCTTGGCCTCAGGGCGTTTCGCCAGCGCTCGACGCCGCCTCCGCTTGACTGCACTTTTCACAAGGGGTTCGAGAGACCTCAGAGACGTGTGAGAGTTGTGTGAATATGCTGAGTTGGCCGAGCTTCTACTGGAGTGAGACGTTCCTGCACTGCTTGCCGAAGACTGCCCGTACAAGGACCGCGTCGGAATGGTGTCTGTCAAGGATCGGTCGCCCAAGTCTTCCCCTTCTGACGAAAATCCAGACACAGCGTTGGCAATAGCCGATACGGACGCAGGTTCATGCTCTGGAGGTGAAACCTGCCATCTCTGGAGAGGATTCAAATGTTGGAAGGTGTCGGAAAGGCTGGAGCCTGCAGGAATGTCGATGGGCATGGTTCTTGAAGAGGTAATCGCCGGAGAAGGCGGACGTTTTGGCGGCACTTTGAAGCGCGTCCGTCTGCGGGTGTTGGCCAGCCAATTGGTAATCTGCTGTCTGCTGAGGCCAGTCTGCCGCTGCAATATTTCCATGTCCTCGGTGGTTGGGTACGGGTGATGGTTGTTGTTGGCCAGCCATGTCTTTAGAATGCGGAGGGACTTGGATGAGAAGCGAGTTCCGATCTTCGGCGGCGTTGTGGTATCTGAAGGCTGGAGTGATGGTATGATATTCCCTTCGTTGCCAAATAGGTGTCCCATAGGCTCTCCGTCGCCCAAGGCTTCTGAGAACATAAACACGCCAGGCTCGTCAAATTGGTTGGCGTTGTTCACCGGTTGCCTCTCGACAAAGTCCATGCTGACATGTTGGCTACCAAGAGCGGTTGGGGCGGGGCCAATCGCAAATGCATCTTGTTGATGAGATGACTCAACACCAAGAACACTGAGAGGTTCAATAGAACCAATGCCCTGTAAATTCTGTGAAGTTTCGTCTTGTCCAGTTCCAAAGCTGGTAATGTCGAGTTGCTGATTGTTGACAAAGTTCGACGTAATGAAGTCCAACTCAAGCGCGGCGGTGAAGTCGTCGATGCTGAGAGCTTGCGTATCATTGGCTGCACCCGGTCCCTTGTCCATCGTTGTGCGAGTTGTGTAAATACTTAAGAATGCAGCTTGTCAACGTCGGAGGAGTGGCATCTGTTAGTGCTGTCCAAGAGCAGATAGGATGAAAGTTTCCCCGAATAAACTCTCTGCTTTCAGATGGTCAGGGAGGCCAGTCATATTGTGCCCGCACCCCGCAGTGAATCTTGTTCCTTTGCTCGGGTCATCATCAGCCCGGCTATCGGCACACCTCTCAATTACTCTGTATCGCTCTTCGTCAATCTCCTCCCATAAGGTGAGAATTGCGGGCTAACTTCCAAATCACAGCTCTGGAGAAGCTTAATTGACGTTGATGTGCTGTGGATGAACCCCGTAGAGCTCTTGTATTTGCGACAGGTTATGCGATATTTTTTCTCGCTTTTCTTTTTGGATATCTACACACGCGACTTTGAGGAATAGCAAGTGATCGGCTGCCTTCCACGCACCACTCTGCTACCACACTCCCTTTAAGTTTACGGATAAAGATGCGGCTCAACCACACAATGTCTTTCGTACCTCTGTTTCAAAATACGATTCCGTACCACCGGAGCCGAGTCCGGCACAGGACAACAGGTCGACAGGTCCGTTGACACCACGCGACACCAAATTCGGCTGAGCATTCGGCGACCGAGCCGTTCGTTCTGAGCCGGCCGATTTCGGAGCTCTGGGTACCACACAAAAGATCGTAAGGACACAAACATTGCCGCGCTGGTTTCGATCTCGGTCAACCCCACCCATTTGGCCTCGATTGCTCGCCACGGGGTGAGCCCGTCGGGAGATGTCCGTTGCGGCTAACCCCCGCGCCCCAACAATGCTACCTTGAATTCAGCAAGGCGGTGTCTGATTCGTGGGGACGCAGTGATGGCTTCTGTTTGAAGCAATTCATCTACCAATTTTGCGGGGACAACTGGGCTATTCCGAGGGATGATCTATCAGTCCAGTCACCGAGGTCGGAAAAGTCAGCCAGGTGCAATGTGGTAGACGTTTCCGCCGGGTGGATTCTTCGCAATGCCGTCGGTCAACGTCCTTTCTTTGCCGAGTTTTTCGGGCAGCTAGCTCTGAAAAACTTGGATTTCCCATTCATTTTGGCGCAATGGCAGTGCTATGTGGTCGCCAAGTCACGGTCTTTTCTCAGATTCATCCCCGCATGGTCGAACGGAGAAAGCCAAGCCAGGTCTCTCGTCCCACATCGGCAGCCCGCAAACATGTCCCACGACGAAGTCAAACAGTCTGAGAAGCCGGAGCCGAGCAGCGACGGCCGGCCCGAAACCCCGGACTTGGCACCGACAACTTCCAATGCGGAGAAGAGTGGCAGTATTGTGCCGGCCGTGGACGTGAACGATGCTAGTCTAAGCCGCCAAGACACCGAGGCTGTTTACAACAGGTTCACGCCAGCCAAGAAGAGGCTCGTAACAGCCGTTGTAGCATGCGGCGGGATTGCGTCGACGGTCTCTTCCTTGTTGCTTCTAGCTGCCATCCCCGAAATCGCTGCCGATCTCAACACAACTGGAACTACCATCAACGTCAGCAACGCCATCTATGTTCTATTCATGGGCATATGCACCCTCTTCTGGGGCCCTATCAGTCAAGTTTACGGTCGAAAATGGGT